TGGGAAACACTGAGGGCAGGAGGAGAAGGGGAAGACAGAGGATGAGACGGTTGGATGGCATCACAGACTCAATGGACATGAGTTTGGGTAAACTACGGGAGTTGGTGATAGACAGGGAGGCCTGGTGTGCTGCAGTTCATGGGGTTGCAAAAAGTCGGACATGACTGAGCGACTGAGCTGAACCGAAATGAACATTTTAATATAAACAAGATCATTCAATATATGTTCTTTTGTAACTGGCTTCTTTCACTTGACATAATGTTTTCAAGGTTCATCTACACTGTAGCATGTGTCAGTACTTCACTCCTTTTTACTGCAGAATAATCTCATTGAAAGGACCTTGATGCTTAGAAAGATTGAAGGCAAGAGGAGAAGTGGGCAACAGAGGATGAGATGGCTGGATGGCATCACCAGTTCAGTGGACATGAGTTTGAGCAAGCTCTGGGAGATGCTGAAGGGCAGGGAAGCCTGGCATGCTGCAATTCATGGGGTCACAAAGAGTTGGACATGACTTAGGGTCTGAAAACCAACAATAATTTTAGTTTATGGATATCCATCTTCAGTTGAGGGACATCTTATCCACTGTCAGTTGAGGGACACTTGGGTTGCTTCCAGTTTTTGGCTGCTGTAACAAATCCTGCTACGAGCATTCATTTTTATGTGGACACATGTTTTCAGTCATCTTGGGCAACCATCTAGAAGCAGAACTGCTGGGTCCTATGGGAACCTATGTTCAGCACTTTGAGGAACTGCCAGATTGCTTTTCAAACTGGCTGCACCGTTTTATACTCCCATAAACAAGCTATGTATGAGGATTCCAATTTCTCCACATCGTTGCCAACCCATCCCTCTGTATGGATCCCAGGCATCCTCCTGGGTGTGTTGTGTTCTCACTGTGGTTTTGATTTCTGTTTCCCTGGTGACTCAGTGTTGAGAATCTTCTCATGTGTTTGTTGGCCCTCCGTAATTCAGGATAAATAGTTATTCAAATCCTTGGCCCATTTTTTAATTGGGTTGTGTTTTTACTATTGAGTTGTAAGACTTCTTTACATATTCTGTATTCCAGTCCCTGATGCTAAATGCATCGTAGTGAGGAGGGGATATTGGAACGCGTGTTTCGACGTTTCACTCACTGCTGTATCCCCAGCACTGAGACCAATGCCTGGCACGCATCAGTAGGAGTTTAATAAATATTTGTGGAAAAGAGGGGGTGGAGGAAGGAAGGGAAGCTCCTGAAGAGAGAAGAGAAAAAGCGCAGGAGAAAAGGGAGAGAAGAGAGGGAACCTAGGTTACGGAGGCCTGACTGCAGGCCAAGCAAGAGACTAAGCAACAGACACACTTAACCCTCACACAGCCCTCTGGGGGAGGAACCACAATCCTCACTGCGCAGAAGGGGAGACGCAGGGACGGAGCCGCAGGTGCAGCCTGCCTGAGGGGGCGCGCGGACGGCTGCTCACGCCGGCTCTCTTCTGCTGTCTCCTTCCTCCTCCTGTGGGGGTTCCCTTCCCTTGGGCCTGGTTTCTGGCAAGAGGCATGTGAAAATAGTTCCTGTTGCTCACTGAGAGCCAGTTATGTTCACAATAATTGGATTCTGCCACATAGGAAAAAAAAAAGGTATTTTGGCCTGATAAGAAGTTGCTGCAGCTTTTTTGGGGGGGGGGGGGGGGCAGGGCAGCTAGCATATTAGCAGTGAACACATGTAGAATATTTAATACTCACTGGATGTCAGGTTTAGAAAAATTGGGGAGATCGCCTCGTCCAGAAATTTTCTAATTTTTTACCAAGGAACTCACTGTTGAAACGCAGTCTTTCAAAGAAATAAATCCAAGATGCAGGAGAGAAGAAGCAGGCTGCTGCTGCTGAGGGCTCACAGGGAGCAGAGCCCTGATGCCCCTCGCTCCCCTACGCATCAGCAGTCAGACCCGGGGAAGGGAAGTCACACGCCCCACCCTGGGTCTCAACCCTCCACCCAGCCCCTTCTAACCACCAGGGCGCTAACTCCTCCTCCTCAGCAAAGGCGCTGTTTTTCCCAAGTTTCTTTGCAGGTGGCACAGGGGACTATTGCGGCAATTTTCCTATTGTACCTCAGTACCTGCATGTCAAGTCTTCGGATGGGAGTCTCAGCCAAAGGCCAACAACCCAGACCTTTACAGGGACCAGGGGAGCAGAGATTACTGTGACACTATCGAGAGCGGCAACAGGAAAAAAGAAAACGACAAACGAAAATACTCCGCAGCCAAACAACTACGCTGGCTGCTCGGCACTCGGGCTGCCAAGGTTCCACGCCTCCGCACCTCCCACCTCCTCCTTCCCAAAGCGAGAGCCACAGGAGGGCAGGAGCCACGGCGGCTCTCCTGCGCCTCTACTCCTGGCGCAGTGCCTGTACCAGCCACAAAGCAGCTGCAGGCAGCAAGGATTTGTTGAGTCAATAAAATGAATGAGAATGTGAATCGCACCTGTGCATCCTTGTACCTCAGCACCTGATTTACAGAACTGAAAGAGTCTGAGATTGTCAAAAGGACGCCATTATCTAGGTATAAAGCTCAACTTTATAATTTTTCTGGTCTTCATTGTAAATGCAGATTTAATAACTAAAGAATGGAATAGCTACTGCATGTACAGGCACAGTCCCAGGCTTTGGAGGCACAGTGGTGAACAAGTCCCTGTTCACCTGGTGCTTACGTTTAATCCTAACACTTCGCATGATACATTTGCATTGTTAAATTTTAATTACACAGGATCCTGGAAAGCTAGCTGAGATCAAAAGATAATTATAAATCAGGTTGCAAAGTCCTTTTCTATATTTACTTACATCCTCAAGTAATTTACAAATGCCAATTATGTATTTAGCTAATTGTGCTAATACCAAGCAGGATGTAACATGTTTCAGAGAAGACTGGCAGGATACCACATGCCTAGGGTTTAAGATAGAAAAGCTGACTGGCTGATAAACCTTTTGGCCCTGCAGGTAAGTAAATCACAGGTTGAAACTGACCTGGAAATTAGCACCCTGCTATACCCACACACATGTCTAAGAAAGGAAGAGGGGGGAAAGTACCAGGCAGAAAAACAATTTTAGACCCTCTGCCTGACAAAACCAGGCAGGAACTTTAAGAACCACATTATCTGTGACTTTACACAAAATAATACAAACCATCATGAATACTTCAAGTGCAAATTTTTTGTGAT